CACATTCAGTTTGGTCACCAGCTGAATCCTCTGCATTTCTAAAGCTCAAAGAACTGGAAAAAAGCAAATTTAAGCATCTTAGAGCAATACTGAAAGATGCTATCGGCAATATATTGAATGACCCAGAAAGCATCAAAAGAAGATGGAAGAAAGACAGTCACTGTGCCAGAAAGAATCAATTGATACTGAAAAATTTAAGGAAGTACCATATGAACAGGAGTCAATGGTAATGAAGGAGGAAATAGAAGTTGAATTGAAGGCATTGGCAAAAACTAAGGCCCCAGGAATTGATGGGATACCAATTGACTTGTTTCAGTTAACAGATTTAGCCTTGGATGTACTCACCAGTCTATGCTAGGAAATTTGGAGGGCAGCTGTCTGGCCAACAGATTGGAACAGGTCTGTATTTGTTCCCACTCCCAAGAAAGAGGTTCCAATTGACTGTGAAAATGTGCAACTTATAGCCTCTGAAAACTCACTGGAGCATCAGTTATGAGTTGATCCCAACCCAAACAACACATCACAACAAAATTAAGGTAACATGATGATTGAAGAATACTACTGATTATGATAAAGCTTTGTGCCTGGTATAAAATGAACTATAACAATTACTACTGCAATCCAAAAATCAGAGGACTTCCTCTACAGTAACAAAGAGAACTGAGAGAAGGAAACCAATACCATTTACAATAGCCAACCACAAATTGAGATATTTGGGAGTCAACCTAACGAGAGATACAAAAAACTTATACAAAGAAAACTACAGAGCATTTCTGCAAGACAAAATAAAAGACCTACAGAAATTGAAATATGCACCCTGTTCATAGATAGGAAGAATGAGTATTGTGAAAATGACAATCATACCAAAAGCAATCTACATATTCAATGCAATCCCAATACAGATACCAAATTCATTTTTCAAGGAGATCAAAAGGGAAATTGTTGGTTCAAATCCACCAGGTGCTCTGCTGGAGAAGGAGGAACAATATCCTCCTGTACCAGTTAGATCTGATTTGATGGTACACACAAAAAATAATAAACCTTAAAAAAAAAGGAAATTGTCAAGTTTATTTGGAGAAGCAAGAGACCCTGAATAAGCAAAACACTTCTGAGAAACAAAAAAATGAAGTGAGAAGTATAGCACTATATAAATGACAGGCACATATCAGTGGAACAGAAGTGAGAACCCAGAAATAGACCCAGCTATCTATGGGCAACTGATATTCAACAAGGAAAGAAAACCTATCATGTGGGGAAATGACAACCTCTTCAATAAATGGTGCTGGCAAAACTGGACTGCTACCTGCAGAAAGCTAAAACAGGATCCACATCTCACACCATACACAAAAACCAACTCAAGGTGGATAAGAGACTTGGGAATAAAGCCCAAGACCATAATGTTCTTAAGAGACAAACTGGGATCAAGCTTAGAAACACTAGTCCAAGTTATAAAGAGACTGCCAAATATTGCAAGAAATGTACAGTTTGAACAGGATACAATTGATGAATGGGGCCGTCTAAAGATTAAATGCCTATGCTCATCAAAAGCTTTTCCCAACAAGGTGAAAAGAAAACCTACTGACTGGGAACAAACAATTGGCAATACCATCTCAGACAAGAGTCTCATGACAAAAGTTTGTAGAATGCTCCTGGGCTTCCACAAGAAAAAGAATTATAATACAATTACAAAATGGGCCAAAGTCATGGAAAGAATTTTCACAGAGAAAGATATTCAAATGGCCAACAGCCATATAAAGAAATGCTCCAAATGTCAATAAGACAGACACAAATCAATACCACAATGATGTACCATCTCACTCCAGTAGCAGTGGTAAAGTTTAACAGAACAGCAAGTTATAAATGTTGGAGAAGATGTGGTGAGATAGGAACACTTTTATATTGTTGATGGGATTGTAGAATGGTACAACCAGTCTGGAAGGCAGTTTCGTGCTTCCTCAAAAAGCTGAACATAGAAATTCCATATGACCCAGCTATTCCATTGCTTGGAATATATCTCAAGAAAATGAGAATTAAGGCTCAAACCAAAACTTGTACATCAATGTTCATAGTAGCATTATTCACCATGACAAGAACATGGAAATAGCCCAGCTGTCCAACCAAAAATAAATGGATTGAGAAATTGTGGTACATTCATACAAGGGAATACTATGCAGCACATAGGAGCAATCATTTTATAAATTACTACTTAACATGGTAGGGACTGGAGAGTATTATGCTGAGTGAACTCACTCAGTCCCACAAAGACAAATACTATATAAAAACCATTATTGTAAAATGAGTATGAGGATCCACGGTGGGGGGAGGGTAAAAATAGAGGGGGGGGAGAGGGGAGGGGAGGATGTTAATCATAAGGTTGTGCAGTTCAGTGGGTGGGTGGGGTAAAGGAAATGGGAAGGATCTTTCATAAAAAACAATGTATTCAAATTTTGTAAATAAATCAAAATAAAATTTTTTTTAAAAACCCATTACTGTTGCATAAGCTTACCTCTCATTTTCTCATTCCCATTCTCATTGCCTGTTGAATCTGAATCAACTCACAGCTGATCTTCTAGTGGTTTTTCAGAGACTGTAAGTTCCATGGAAAGAGATAGCCCATCTTGCTCCTACAGAGCCACATATAAAGAGTCCAGTCAGCAGAGACACTGCCTTTGAGTTAGCAGTGCAATTTTCTACAGATTATGTCACCAGAGCTCCTCAGAACTAGCTTACCGAGTTGTAATTATCTAGAACATGATTTTATATAAATAAAAATCTTCACAGAAACTTCTTAAAAGCTAAATTAACTGTGATGTTCAGAAACTGTAACAAGAAGCTGCAGATCAAAGGAGAATTGAAAATTATATCAAAAAAAAAAAAAAAACACCAAACTGGATTGAGTACTGTGGATGAGTGAGAGCTCATTATTGGGAGATCGCATAAATACTCACAATCTCACTGCTAATGAATCAGAATCAACTTATAGCTGGCTCTCTGGTGAATGTCTGGGGCTATAAATTCCATCAGAGGAGAATGACCATCTTTCTCCCATAGAACAGTTGGTGAATTCAAACCGTTGGAGAAATGTTTGCAGCATAACTCTTTACAGACTACACCACCAGAGTGGTCTGTCTGTCTATCTATCTACCTACCTACCTATCTGTTGCTGTTAGGTATCATCGAGTCAATTATGACTCATAGCAACCCTGTGACCAAGAGATGGGAACCTTGTTGTATCCTGGGCCATCCTCATCATCTCTTATATATTTGAGTTCATTGTAACAATCCATCCTGTTAAAGGTCTTTCTTTCACTGACCATATTCAAGCATGATGTATTTTCCCAAGAACTGGTCACATGTAACAACATGCCATAAGTCTGTGAGATGAAGTTTCACCATACTTGCCTCTCAGGAGCACCTTGGTTGCTCTTTCTGAAAGATAGCTTTGTAGTTCCGTTGGCAGTCCATGAGGTGTTCAGTACTCTAACACCACAGATCAAAGGCATCAATTCTCTTCTGCCATCTTTATTCACTGTCCAACTTTCAGCTACATAGTGATGGAAAAGACTATGGTTTGAATCAAGTGCACCTTAGTCTTTAAATTGACATCACTGCTCCATGACACTTTAAAAAGGTCTTTGACAGCCGACTTTCCCAATACAATACCTGTTTTTCTTGGCTGCTAGCACCAAGGGAGTTAACTGTGGATTCCAGTAAGATGAAATTGTTGACAAATCCGCTCTTTTATCTGTCATGATGTTGCCTATCATGATAAACTGTGGTGATGATTTTGCTTTCTTGATATTGAGGTGTAATCCATATTGAAGGGTGTAGTCTGTGATCTTCTCTAGGAAGCCTTTCAAGTTCTCTTCACTTTCTGCAAGCAAGGTTGTGTCTTCTGCATTATCTGCAGGTTGTTGCTGAGTCTTCCTCTGATGCCACACTCTTCTTCATAAAGATATGTAGATACACACGTGCAAATCAGTTCTCTTTCAAAGATGCTCAGAGCTTACTGGAACCTTACTGAAACCTGTTGTTGTTGTTTTTATTGCTGTTATGTGCCAACGAGTTGGAACTGACTCATAGCTGACCCTCCTCACAGCAGGATTTCAGAGGAAATAAATGCACAAGAGGAGACTCACCATCCTGCAGATGGTGGATTCGAACTTTGTGCCTTTGTATTGCAGCGCAACTTCTTATCAGTACAATCAAGTTCGTAAAAAACCTTCACAAGTGCGAGCTACTCATCGCGGGTCTCAGCAGGGTTGTGCTCCGTGAGCTCCAGGGGATCAGCCCGGACGGATGCTGGCCTGGGGCGGACGCCACAGCCCCAGCGAGATTAGCTGCAGCCAAGTTGCCTGCGCTGTCCCCGCCCGCTCCGCAGGGATGACAGACAAAAACAACAGGTGCATCTGTCCTCCGCAGCTTCTCAAGAATCCCCAAGTTTTGCGTGTCAGGTTCCTGGGCGCCAGAGTTGACTCTGGAAACTTCCCTCTTCCCTGTGCACCAACCACCAGCCTAGCAAAGCGAAGCCTTGGGGTCACCTCAGTTTCTCAAGCCCTCCACACCCAGAAGCCGATTCTCTTCTAACGGGGAAAAGAGGCCAAGGTTTGCAGTGCACGGAGCTCTGCATAACCGTCCTCTCCAGCCTTCCGAAAGCAAGCGAGTGGCCACAGAAGCGGGGCTTCGACTCGCACAGGTCACGCCGCCCCAAACAGCTGCGCGCTCTGCCGGACTTGGGCCAAACCGAAATCCGCCCGCCCGCGTCCCTTTCTCTGGCTGCGCCCGCCCGCCCCACCAGCCGCTCGGCTCCCCCGCCCCCACCAGGTGGTGGGTTCAGGCCCCAGGACCGAGCCTGCGCCTCTGCAGCTGCTACCGCTGCCGTCGCCGCCAGGGGGAGGGAGTCTTCCGTCAGCAGCGTGGTGTGGGCGTCCTCGGCGTGAAGGCGCTTTCCGAGCTTAGCTCTCTGCACCTTGCTCGTCGTCATTTGAAGCTCCAAGAAGATGGAGCCCGAGTCCAGGGAGGTGAGTACAGTGGTCAGGGTCGTAAGGTCCGGGGATAGGAGATGAAGAGACGGAAAGAAGGAGCAAGGTGGGTTCGGTCTTCTAGGGGTTGGAAGGGCAAAACCCGGAGCCCAAACTTCGACTGTTTTGTTGAGAAAGAAACATGGCTCGGATCGGCTAGAATCGCCCCGCGAGGGTCGCAAAGAGTTGCCTGCCTACAGTCCCCTCGAGTTATATCATGGGGTCTGAAATGTGTGGCCACGGGACCTAGACTGGGTGTGGGCGGCGCGGGGGGCCTGAGAAACGTCCAGGTGGTGTTGAGAGACGGCCAGGCGCAGCGCCTTCTGCAACTCATGCAGAGAAACCACTTTCCCGCCCAAAGCGGACTCTGACGTCTTTTACACCCGTCTTTGACACCCTCCGTAGGCCGCAAGGCTCCACTGGGCCCAGACCTGGAGCGACCTCTGCAGCGGAGGCCGCAGCTCCCCTAATGTGGCTGGGGAGCTCCCCGAATGGTAGAGGGGATCCGGAGGTCCGAGAGGCCTGGGGGGGCTGGGAGGGGCGGGCCGCTGGGGGGCCCTGGAGACCCGGGTGCGCGGAGGGGCCGGCAGGTCGGGCAGGAGGGTCTTGGTGGCCAAGCGGCCCCAGGAGCCATGGCAACCCGACGCCGCGCAGGCCTGCCGCCCCCAGCCGACCTATCAGCGCGCGCCACGCGAGGGGCGCGGGCAGCTGCACGAGGACGACGCCGGGGTCGGGGCAGTTGAGGGTTCCCGCCACTGCGTCTGGCTGGTTTGAGGAGCAAAATTTCTCGCTGGTTAGCCTTATTTTCCCTCCCGCACTTTGGTGGGGAGGGGGGGGATCCTCGTGTCGGTGCCCCAGGCCACGATGACCCGAGAGAGCCCGAGGAAGGCTCTGCGGCCATTTTCCCCGGCGCCTCGACCTGCTGGCCGCAGAGGGGCAGGAGCGTGGAGGCCGTGACTGCGACGGTTAGCCCACCTTCTTCCCGTTGTTTTCCTTTGCAGAGTACGGTTATGGATTAGAGAGTTCGTTCCCCAAGGGGGCAGCAAGGAGGGAACATTTGGGGTGGATTTTAATAAAGCTCGAAGCTTTATTACGCGCAAGACTCCTCTGACCTTAATAGTAACGTATGTTAAGACGCTTTCACCTTTGCAAAACTATTGCTTGTATGTAAGGCTTCAAATCCAGACACACAAATGAGCTCCACTCCTTCCATCCATTTAACCCAAAACACCTCTCTTCGTCCTTAAGCACGGTACTACTTGAGGCTTGCTATTTGCAGTATTCACTGCACTTCAGCCTTCAAAAAAAATTCTATATTAGTCTATTCAGTCATTCAGCAAATCTTTATTAAGCACTTGACCTGTACCCATCACCAGAGACTTCGTGAACAATGTTACATTCCAGTAAAAGAGATAAGATAATAAATTATAAAGTATGCTAGAAGTGATAAATGCTAAGAGGGGAAAAAGCAGTTTGGAATCATAAGTAAAGCAGGGCTCTTGGAAGCTGGAGGATGGAGTGAATTATATGGAAAAAGTTTAATTTTTCTGTTCTCCGTCAGTATCTTTTTTTCTAGTTTCTGAAGATTGAAGATAAAGCATTCATTTTTGTGTATTTCATCCTTCAATGAAAATGAGACCAGTCTTTTACTCAGATCTAAAAAGATTAGTTCATCACTGAACTCTTAGTTTTGTTTACTAATTTTTATTTTATAGTGTATAAATAAACTACAGTATTATTTTTAGACCTAAAACTCACAATTTGAAAACTGAATACAATCTAGTAATTGGCTTGCCCATCCATTTTAACTGAACACATATATCTAAGTAAAAATTAGATTTATGACTGAAGTAACTCCCAGATGCCCAGAGAGGATACTGTTAAGATGAGGTTCTCAATGTCTTTACAGCATAACACTTGCTAGACGTGGTAGCTTTCAATGCCATAAAGATGGTTTTCTAAACTAAGGAGTACCTAGTGGTAAGAAATTGCGTTGCCAACCCAAAAAGAAGGAAATTGGAAACCACCAGCTGCTGCAAGGGAGAAAGATGGGCAGTCTCCTCCCATGTGATTTACTACCTCTGAAAACTCACTGGAGAGTCGGTTATGAGTCAGTTTTGGTTTGACCGCACATAACAACCATCATAACTTTAATAGAAAGTATGCGTGCCTCCACCACCTTTAGAATGGATGGGATTGAACTGATGAAGTCCATCTTCTAGCTGCCTGGTCACCACTGCCTACATCTCACTATACATCTCAGCAGAGCTTAAGAAAAGGATAATAGTGGGTTTATTTAATAAAGAGAAAGAAAACAGAAGCTCCCTTACCTGATTTCATGTATTTCTCAGAGAACTGGAATCATGAACCTCATGTTTTTTGAAGCAGTTATTTAGTATGTTAGTCTTACTCAGAATTCTAAATAATGATCCCAGAAGAGACATAATTTCTATGCTATTAGTTTCTCTTTAAAATTATATTCTCAAATGTTATTTTTTTAGATGGACCTTTCACATCTGCCATTTTGCCATTTTATAAAGACATATTTATGTGTGTGGAAATTTAAATTTAAATTTGGACTAGAATTGTTAAGTGGAAATATGTAAAGAGCTCAGTTCTTTAGTATAAACAGTATGCTTATGAATTAATAACATTTCTTTACAAAAATCAGTCTTCAAATTGGCATAGACATTTGGAACTTTAGTGTTGAGGGAGAGAAAAGTTGAAAGTGTTTATTGTTAATGTTTTTTAGTAGAAAAACACGAGTAATATTTATTTAACACAGTATTTAATATAAATTTAACACTAATAATATTTGACCAACCATAACTTGTAGTTGAATAAAGTGGGTTTTTTGTTTAATTTAGGTTGTTTATTTTTCATTTCAGTGAACATCTACAGAGATTTTGGGATTCCATTCATTCATTGTTGCACCCTTCTCCCCGCACAAACCCCTC